ACCGCGTATATTCACTACATAGGGAAGTAAGTAACTAAATACTGCAATCAGTGTACGTATTGCAAACATTCAGCGTAAACACAAGCCATATTCAGGATAATCAATACTTTTTCTATAAACTCTTAAGTTATATATCTTGAAAAGACGTGATCGGCATTTATAACTAACGCCAGTTACGTATTTCTTAGTGAATAGAGATATATATTTTTTGAATTATGTATCATAATATTAAATTGTCTTATGAAAAGAAAAAAAAAACGTTTCAAATAATGTACGATCGTATTTTGATAAACTTACGCAACACGATATCACAACAAAATCTTGTGATTTATTATTTAGTAAAATATTTTATTTACAGCTCTCCAAAATTCTCATATATTTATATACCGTTAGCAATTTAATTAATGCACAATATAAGCTAAATTCTTCGGGCTTCATAATATAAAAGACGTGTGTTTTATCTGAGGTAAACACACGCTAATTATAGACGCTATTGTTTAGAGGTCACACTGACTCCACGGACAATGTTTTTACAATAATTATCACTACTGCAAGAAAGGTGTGAAAAGTCGTTCCTCGAAAAATTACCGTCCGGATAAACGAGTCATTTTTCAACGAAATATTATGTTTTGTAGTAGAAATTGACCGTCCGGATCCGGAACGTGAATTTCCGGATTAATGAGACAGAATAACGTGGAAAAAATCGGTTCCCAAAAAATATCGTCCAGAAGGTGAGGCGTCCGGATTATTGGCGTCCGGATTACCGCGGCGCCACTGTATTTCAATGTAAAACTTGGATTCCCTATTGTGGGCCCGCCCTACCGCCGGGGGTCATGATTTGAACAATTTAGAATCTACACTACCCCAGCATGCTTCCACATAAGTTTCAGCTTTTCTGGCCCAGTGGTTCTTGAGAAGAAGATTTTTAAAGATTTTTCCCATATATTTCAATGTAAAACTTGGATTCCCTATTGTGGTTCAGCCCTACCCCCGGGGGTCATGATTTGAACAATTTAGAATCTACACTACCCCAGCATGCTTCCACATAAGTTTCAGCTTTTCAGGTCCAGTGGTTCTTGAGAAGAAGAATTTTAAAAGATTTTTCTTATTAATTTCAATGTACAACTTGGACTCCCTATTATGGCCCCGCCCTACCCCCGGGGGGTCATGATTTGAACAATTTAAAATCTACACTACCCCAGGATGCTTCCACATAAGTTTCAGCTTTTCTGGCCCAGTGGTTCTTGAGAAGAAGATTTTTAAAGATTTTTCCTATATATTTCTATGTAAAACATTGATTCCACATTGTGGCCCCGCCCTACCCCCGGGGTCATGATTTGAACAATTTAAAATCTACACTACCCCAGGATGCTTCCATATAAGTTTCAGCTTTACTGGCCCTGTGGTTCTTGAGAAGAAGATTTTTTAATGACCCCACCCTATTTTTGTCTTCTCTTGATTATCTCCCCTTGTGAGGGGACTTGGCCCTTCATTTAAAAATTTAAATTCCCCTTCACCCAAGGATGCTTTGTACCAAGTTTGGTCAAAATTGGCCCAGTGGTTCTTGAGAAGAAGTCAAAAATGTGAAAAGTTTACAGACGGACGGACAGACAGACAGACGGACAGACAGACGGACGGATGGACGACGGACAAAATGTGATCAGAAAAGCTCACTTGAGCCTTCGGCTCAGGTGAGCTAAAAATCTTTACCATGTTGACATTGGTGTTCAGGACTACTAGGCCGACTATTACCTACAACCTGATCATTCTTGCTCGTTTTGATAATTATCTAATCCTTTCGTGACAAGTGTTTTGTCATAGAATGAAGTAGAATTCAGCTGTGATGTTAATTTATCACCTTTATCGTCAACATTTTTTGATTTTGATGCAATTTTTTTGTATAAAACTGATTCTACTATATAAACCTGACCCAAACCAAAATCCGGAAAAATGGAACCGAACCGAACAACTTGGACCACGGTTTTCGGTTATTTCGGGGAACCGTGACAGCCCTAATTTGAAGGTTATTTCCACTGCATCGTCATTTATTTTGTCCCGTTTTGGAGTGATTCTGCAATTTTCTGTAACATTGTGGATATATGGGAGGCATTCTAACTGTGATGAAGGCCTGTCCCCAGACTCAAATTATTTTAACTAATTTAAGACTCTACATCCTAAGAAAAGAAAATTGTGGTGATGAATGCTGTTGAAAATAATATAAAAGGGCATTTTTTTGGTGCAGTTATTATTTTCCTTTATGTAAAATATAAGGTACATGCAGGGTTCTCGATTCTCTATAATTGGGGCCGTTGAACGGCCCCATTCCCAATGCAAAAAAAGGTACCTTTTTTTCCCCCAAAAAAAGTGTAAATTTCCCAATTCTTTTATGGCAAAATATTGTTTTTAAAAAATCTTAATCGATGAAACTTAATCGCCAACAAGTGAGAGTGAAACAAACTAGTTTTGCTTTGAACTGTATAAATCAGTGCATGCCACCTATATTCCTAGGCTGATTTGACTTCAATAAGGAACCAGGTTTTCCCAATTTTCCCCAAAATGATGAAAATTTTCCCATTTGAACGGCCCCGACTCCAGTCCCAAAAAGTGTTGCAGGGTTCTCATTAACGCAAGAATCTGCGTCCTAGACGCAGCAAAATTACTTGGGACGCAAGGTTCTTAAAATCGATGCGTCCACGGACTCATGATCGGACGCGTCCTCGTTAGCGAGAAAATTCGGGTAATTTCAAAAACGGGGAATTTAGATGTTAGGATTTGTCAAAGAAATATTTAATCGAAACCTTCCTGTAACTATCATAAAGTTCATCCAAGAAATAACTTTTCTTGTACTTATTTCTCTTCTTTTTTTTTTTAAACAGGGATATTGATCATAATTAAGATACTTCATGTTTATTAGTCCATAGTCATAATAATGTTGCATGTCAAACTCCGACAGCTGTAAACACACTGCAGCTTCTTTTTTTTTTTTTTTTTTTTTTTTTTTTTTTAAAAAACACTTTTGAATCTTGAGTGTCTACATGTAGAAACCATAATTACTGCTTGTATACACAATGCGGCTTGATTATCTTGTGAATTTCACCCAGTGCAGACTACCGACAGGATTAGTTACGCCTCATTGCACATGACACCTGTGATTGTATACAGTCAACTTTCGGGTACTAGTTGATTATGCAACAGTTAATTTTAGCTTTATAAACACCAAGTTAATTTTTATGGCAACTGATTACGCTTGTATTTTAGAATGTGGCTTGAATGCATTACCAGTTTACATGGTTTATATACTTGAATATGTTAATATTGCGTAAACAAACTGATAAAATGATAAAGATTTTTATTGATGTTTGGATGGAAGGATACTGCAATAATTTAGTTGGGACTCAACATAATTATTCTGGGACGCATGAAATTTAGCTGGGACGCAACCTTCTCAGAAATCTTGAGTCCTGGGACTCAAGTTGGCAAAATCCTAGTGAGAACCCTGTGTTGTGAGAGCCCTGACATGCTTCTTGTATGACAAATCTTCATCCAGTCTGAAACCTTCAACTTTGTCAAAACAAATGTCTGACAGACTTAAAATTTTGACAATGCTGAATTTATTTTATGTTCCCTATATTAAAACAAAAATGATAATCTTATAGTGTATAATTATGGGTATATTTGTGAATGCAGCTTAGATAGTCAGTCAGATAAACATAATAGCGAGCTGCACAAAGCACCGCTTGTCACTGCAAGCTCTTAAAGCAACGCCTGGGCGAAGAGAAATCTGTGGATCTTTTCACAAAAAATCTTACGACATATTTTTATCTTAAGTGAAAACTTATGATAAAAATTGTTTTTACAAAAATTCTTAAGAAAGTCAGAAGTGCAAAAACTGTCGTAACTTTACGAGACCCCCAACCCTCTCTTAAGTATTCTAAAAACAATTTTATTGTAAAAAGATAACCGCAAAAACCAAAATACACGTTAAATTGAACTTTGTAAAGCAACTTACAATAATATTTTATATTTTTTTCACAATCATTGTCGAAAAATTAAGTGAATTACACTACAAAATATTTACGATGTAAGTTTCACTTATGACCTTCTTTTACGTCAAACTTGTGATTGTGACGTCAGATTTTAAACTTCCTTGCTTCACAAACGATTGCATTCGATATTTGTTGTTAATAATGTTTGTTATGCTGGCAAATGTTAAAAACTAAGTTTTATTTTCATTTTCACCCACTATTTAAGGATTATAAAGCATATTGATATTGTTGCTAGGGATGAAGTCTGTCGTAAATAAAATCTTAACTTTAATCTGCTACGAATGTGTTCGTGAAACGCACTTAAGATTTGTCGTAAGAAATTCTTAAGTTAAAATCTTATGCAAAAACTTAAGATTTTTTGTGAAAAGGGCTACTGGACTTTGCACATTGATCCATTTTTTCCCGCAGTAAACTGTGGTCCCATAATGCTTTGCGAATTGCATCTCTCCACAAACAATGTTCTCGTGGTAACAAGAAGTTCCAAAGAAAATATAAACTCACCTTGATTTGATGGATATATAGCAGATTAAACCTTCTTTATTAAAATTAGCACTGTTCAGACTTTGTTTTGGTAATGCAATTTACAAGCGACATCATGTGACGTCAGAGTATAGACAAACTAACTGTCACGTGTGGTTTGAAGAGCCCGATCTAAATTAAAACTGAATATAGGTATCTGCACTTGCCCTTACCGTCAGCATATTACTTTATTTAGTGTAGATAAAATAAACATTTCTGTTCAAATTTATAAAGGTTTTTGTTGTTGTTTGGATAGAAGGATACTCAATTGGGAGTCGGGGCTCAACATAATTTTATTGGTACGCATCAACTATAACTAGGACTCAACCTTTTCAAAAACCTTGAGTTCTGGGACTCAAATAAGAAAATCCTAGTGAGAACCCTGAGGTATACTTAATTAGGATTTAAAAACTTCTCTCTTTTCTCAACTTTTACCTGTCACAATCCTCCACTTGTTTTTTCTCCTCTGCTGTAAGTGTCACCTCCGGGCTTTCTAAATTCATTGCACATGGAAGCTTGAGTATCCGTCTAAAAGATTATTTTAATGCTTGACGCATAGACTAGGTTTAAAACAGTGAAATATCCTAATAATCTGCAGTCCTTTCTGCCTACTTCAAACTGCAGCCATATTGGATGTGACAAAATATTTCGCGTGAGGAGTTTTACAAAACGAATTTTCATGTAGAAGGACCTCGATCCCGAGGGGGAAAGTTTTCAATAGGTACAAGAGTTCCATTACCGCGAAGTTGCCCCATTTCCAGAAGAAAAAAAACAGCAAGTCAAAATTTTGTTTGCTTTTTCCAGAAAGATGAACAATTGTAGTACTTGTCAATAGTAATTGTATGTTTATAGTTTAAATCTATTATCCACCAATCAAGGGTCCTCGGTGGGCATTTACAATTATATCAGAATGAACAAATCTAAGTATATTATAAAATATGAATCATTTATATGGAAGATAAACAAAACCACATTATGATATATGTTCATTTTTAACCCCATAATATAATAATTTACACAAGGTATCTAACTCCGAATTACATGGAGTTTCAGAAGAAATGCACTGACAAACTGTTAAAAAACAAACAACTCGACATTTAGATATATCGATGACGTTTTATCAATCAACAATGGCTACTTCTATTCATATGTCCACTCGATATATCCCAGTGAACTTGAAATAACACATACCACGTACAGAGTCTGACTCATACGTTTCATATTTGGATATTTCACTAGAAAAAGACATTAATATGGTAACCTAACAAAAACTTTATGATAAACGTGATGACTTTAACTTTTCTATTGTCAATTTCCCTTACTTATGTAGCAATATACTCTTATCAGCTGCATATGGGGTTTATATCTCCCAAGTTGATTCGATATGCAAGAGCATGCTCCACGTACGAACAATTTCTAAAACAAGGCAAGATATTGACAAACAAGTTAATGAAACAAGGATATCAACAGTCTTCGTTTGAAGTCATCATTTCGCAAGTTCTATGGTCAATACAATGACCTTGTCACCAAATAAAATTTATCATTAAGTCGAATGCTGACTGAATTTTTCATACCAATTGTTAATCCATTATTTAAACACTGATTTGTCTACTGATTTTTTCCGTTTGCCTGATCATGACAAGAGCACACGGCGGGTCAACAGGGGATGTTTACTCCTCCATGGCACCTGATCCCACCTCTGATGTTTTTTCAGAGGTCCGTGTTTGCTTTGCTCCCGATTTGTTTTGTCTCAATGGACATTCGAGCTTGATAACTGTTCCTTATCTCCATATTTCGATATTACCATTCTTTTCTACGATAATTTATCTACACAACAATATATGGCATAATAGTCTTTATTGTATTTTATCTTAAATAGCATCAAAACTCTAGCTGCTCACCGACTGGAATCTGAACATGCTGATTCGAGCACTTAATTAAATTTTAATCGGTTTTATAATTATACTTGTACATGTACTTATATAGATAATCGGGTTTTGGATGTGCATTGTCACATAATCTCCATGTGTCACTATGGTGACAAATCTAAGCGATATAGATTTTAAAAATGTTATTTGGCGTGTTTTTGTAGAATGTCTGTGGTCGTAGCAAAGATTTTGATAAGGAAAGGGGAAACCTCACTTTCACTTCTAGTGGATGAATTAAAAAAAAATCCAAAGAAGGGGTGGTAGTTAAACTGAATTTCCAAAGAGACAGTTTTATGATTTACATGGAAGACTTTTAAATCAATTGTTCTCTGTTCGAGGAGTCTTTAATTAAATGGATTTTTTCCAGAAATAGCCTATACCATGGCCGTAGGAACCGGGGGGGGGGGGCACGGGGGGGGGGGCGTGCCCCCTCCCATAATTTTGCCGATATTCAATTCAATTCAATTAGTTTATTTACCAATTAAGGGCCCTCATGGGGCAAAAAGAAAGAACATTGTAAATTAACATTTATATATAGTCATATACATGTAATACAATATACATACACACAAGAGAGAAAGAGTTGCATGATTGATAGGAGAAAGACATAAAAAAGAAATAAACCAGATAGTTTTTATACATATACATGTACATAAATTCTGCGCAAATAATATCATACATCATATATATATGCAAATTTACATATTTATATCATACACATATTTAAGTACATATATATAGACTACTATAGTAAACATAGATACTATATGCTTGTGCCCCCTCAATAAAAACGTCTGATGACCTTTTTTTTTTTTCCTTTCTTGCCTGTCAGGAAATTTTTGGTAGTGCCCCCTCAACTGTCAACTGAAAAATGGATGGCTGTGCCCCCCCCCCCCCCCCAACTGAAATTGCTTCCTACGGGCCTGTATACACATTGTAATTGCACATTATGGGAAATATTCTACATGGGTAAAGTGCATGCGTCCCTGATTGGTATAATTCTGCATGTAAGTCTTTGCTTATATCACAATAAGGACAGAGTTTAAGAACATACGCAACATAGTTTTGAGTTATATTAATTTACTTATTTTCTGTATAATGTAAGAGTTCCAAGAATTCAAGGACCTTTGTGCGACTTTTATAATGTCTAATGATGCAGTTATCATGTCTTAACTAGTTAACTACACTTTCGTTATTTTTTCTTTAAATAACATAAGGATTTTCATCATTGATATCATTGTTCAAAACTCCTCTTTAAAAATTATCAGTGGGAAATTAAAGATTATAATTGTAAGGTATACGTACGTGTACATGTACGTTGCGTATGACCTTAATTCAAATTAAGAAGAAATCATTTTGATTTTGGCATATGCCGTAATATAGCAACATGCTGTTTAAAACCAAGGGAACATGTTTTATACACTGTGACCCGTCCCCGGGGACGCGTACACTTCCTTGATCATCACAGCTCACGGAGCGAACGTGAGGACTGAAACGTACATTTACATAGATCTGTGGGAAGCGTACTGAGGTAAGATGTGGTTGTTATTTTTATCAAGATATTTATATAATTATAATAACAGAAGATGCTTTTCTTTCTTATCTTTAAAAGACCTAGCTTTCAAACAAACACAAAAAATTATGTTATTTATATGTCTCTAAGTAACAAAAGAACAAAAAAAAGAAATCATTTTACCTTTTAGCAGAAATTCATAAACTATTGTTATTTTTCCCGACAAATTTCATCTTTCATTCGTAATTAGTTCAAAGATTATATAGAACAATTTGTTTCCCTTTAATCACTTTGGCGAAAGAAATTAAATCGAGATCGAAATTCTGGAATTTGAATTTTGTTCGTTTTTTTTTTTTTTCATCTTGGGATTTTCCTACTTTCACTTTCGTATAAACTTATTATTTTTTCAACAAATAGTAAGGAATGTCACACAAGAAGGAGAAGGATAATTTCGAAGTTTTAGAGGTTGTTAGCTCCAGGGGCAATGGTTGGCTTCAGGATGTAGTCAGAGATGTAAGCAGTAGATCGACAGCTCAACAAGTTGCTATAGGAGGGGCGTCTGGATGGTAGGTTGAAATCTTTAGTTTATAAATATAAGATACCTGCAAGGTTATGGGGACAGCTGAAGAATTACGTCAGCCATTCCCTGTAATTTTGATTTTTATATAAAAGTCCATTGTTAGCTATTTGTGTGATATGTTTTACAGGCGAATGCAGTTGTGTTCGTTAATGTATAGAATCGCCTCTTCCAGTGCTTCATGTTTGTTCATTCGCCCTAAAACACATTCACCTTGATGCCGTTGGCCCAAATTCTGTTTGTCCAGAGTTTGTTCGCTCTATAACTTGTTCGCCCAAAGTCTGTTCACCCTAAATATGTTAGATGATTAATTTTGTAAATTACTGTGATTTAATCAAATTTCATATATTTTTCTGTATGAAATATAATTTATTACATTTGATGAAAAAAAGATGCATGCATAATAGAGGATATTCAATGTTCTGTAGATGAATATGGAATTTTTTTTTTTTTAATGAGTGAGACAGGATTTTTTCATATTTTCACGAGTGCTAAGCATGAGTGAAAATATAAAAAAAAATCCTGTCTCACTAGTGAAATAAATTCCATAATTGTCTACAAAACATTGAATTTCCTGTTTATTACATTTTCTTAGATTTTTCCCTTTGCCTCTGTCTTTTTGGAACACAGTGTCATAGGTTGTGACGTCATAGAGTGGCTAAGCGATTGCGAGTTTGAAAAACGTTGTAAACATGGATTTTTTAACAACATATTTGGAAAAACTTTCGCAGTCTGACAGAGACTAATAGTTACTACTTCTTAGTCTCTGTCAGGATGGCTCATTAACTCTATCTTATAACAGGCCGGGATTTTTTTAAAAAGCATTCTTCATGAAGGGACAGAAAATCGTACGTTTTGCTGCACTTCTGATATTCTCAAACTGTGAGAATACCATTTTGATATCCTTTCACACAGTATCAGAATATCACTTTTTTCAGTAAATATTTACATTTCCAATGTCTTTGTCCGAGATAAAATTTCAAATACATGTAGTAAAAATACTTTATTTCTACATAAATCTACTGGTTCATCGATATGTATGGTGAGAAAAAAAATCACGTGCGGGGCGGGACAAATAGAGACAGAAGCGGGGCTTGTAGCACATGAATTTGCAGAATCAGGAGCATGTAAATATAAGGAATAACTTTCAGATTTTTTGGTTTCATGACGATGTTCAATCGATTGGCTTGCACGATAATTTTATGCATAAATGCCTTCGGCGTTTATGCAAATTATCACACAAGCCAATCGATTGATCACATCATGAAACCAAAAAATTAGACAGTTATTCCTTAAATAAATTACAGTATTTTACTGTTGAAAATGTAATAAATCATTTTAACAGATGATTTTAAACTGTAGTAATATGTGATAAATATACTACAGCACTGTCTGTTACTCTATCTGTAATTATATATGTTATATGTATATGCCTATTTGGGCTCTGTTTCGGAAATAAATTCTTTTCTATTTTATTCCTTACTTGTTTATTTATAAGTAACTTTAAGTAACATTATATTAATTCATTATATATTAGTTTATCAATATTATTATACATGTATTAATAAAACCGCTAATCATCCCTGACCCCCAAAGTAGCATACATTAGTATTAACATATCAATTTCCTTAATCTCCAGGGGTTCAATTATTGGTCAATTAAAAAAGAGAGATAGCTATATACAACTGAATTTGGTTTGATAGGGCTAGGCATGTCAATAATTTCTCTTAAGTTCCTTTGATTTCTCCCCAATCCCTGTAAGGCAGCCAAAATTTACCCAGAATTCCAACCTCTAGAAGTAGAACTGAAAAGCGATACCATGCAATAAAGATCTCGATTGACCTGGTGAGAGTGGGCAGCAGCTGATGCCATTCAGAATTTAATTTTGTGCCAAATGTCAACTGAGCGTAGTAATGACTTGATAATAGATAAATATTGAAACTCAAAGATTTTTTTTTATCTAAGATACAATCTTTGTTATTAAATTCATGTGAATTACCAGTAATATACAAATGAAAATGTCCCAGAATGTTTTCATAAAATACTTGTGGTAAACATAAAAATAGAAGGTAATGATTGGACCCAAAAGTTCCTAATTTCATTTCGCTATATCCCCTCTATCTCTTGAGCTTCTTTTCATGGTTCTTGAACTTCTAGAGATCAATTAAGAGTCACCTGTATCTTATTTCAATCTAATTAATTAGAATTAGATGTTACATATAGATTCAATCACACATATCTTGCTTCATGTCAACAAATAATTTTGATTAGAATGTATCTGACTCAAATATAACACTTGCTATACAACAACCAAAGTCATCTTCAAAGACTTTAAATATAACTAAATGCAATCAAAATACCAGCTTAATAGTTCTTTGTCCAGTGTTCCAAGATTGGATAAATTTACGTTGTCTGAGATGAACAAAATTTAGTGTTTAGAAGAAAATGTTAGATAAACCTAAGCAGTCTTATTCCAAGTCTTTTACCAATTTTGCTATTTCAGACATACACTACCTATTTCATTTCAAAGCTGGAAAATATTTACATTGAAAGCTGTATCACTGTGACTCAGGAATTCAATTCTGATTTCTAGAACTTTTGTTATGTTGTAACTGGGATATATATATTAATCAGTGCTGCTCTTCAATATTCAAAACAAGTACATTACATATTGTTTTCAATATAAACACACATAATTTTTTTATTTCCTTATAGATTTTGACTTTATTTTCACAGGGCGGCAGGATATTTGTGTGTGAAAGTTGGAAAGTTAGCTGCCATCACACTAGGCACATCAATCTTGGTTCTACAGGTAAAAACTAAAAACTATTCAATGGGTGTTACTAAAATGCAGAATGGAAAACGGAACAGAAATATGTAACCAGGTTAATCACCTGACAAATATATAAATCGTACAAGAAACAATATACATTATATACATGTATATTGTTCATATTTAATCGAGGATTATTTATACAAGTTGATTTAGTCATGTTTATTCTCTTGTAAACATAGGCATAGTGTAGGGTATGGAAAATGGCAATGAAATCTTTGAACTTGGACCAAAACTGTCGGAGGAGTAATGAACTCAGAATACAAGTAGACTATAGTTAGATTCATAATTCTTTTTACTGGTGTCTGATTTTGACAAGTAGTGTTGCCATGGTTTTAAAAATATTTTTCAAAAAAATCTATATATTTCTTTCAAAATATTACTTCTCCTACAGTTTTGATCCAATTTCAATAATACTTTGCACAAAAGTAGACTATACAAAGATACATATATTTCTTCAATTTAAGTACACATCAATAGAGACGCAGCCTCATCAGAGACTTTGCAAACCAACTCAAATATCGAACTCAAATATTGGATTCGCAAAACTTCAATTACTCTGAAAATCCAAAAATGAAGACCAAACTCTTCCTCCCCCAACCCTCACTCTAAATCAGCCCATGACATGGGCTGGAGCTGTGAGTCTAATTTGTACATGTATATATTTTATTGACCATCACATGTTTATTGTCCGTCACATGTACAATGTATATGCTAATTCTGAGAAAATTCATAAATAAATCACATCAAATTGATAAAAGTTATCTAGATATGAGCTGTTAGACAAAAAATACTGGTTCCTGTCTGATTTATGTCTTGGCTAACTAAATAACTTGATATAAGATTTTCCGCTTCCATGCTGTTCTGTTTTCTGGTCCATTATTAGCAACACCGTTATTCAATTAGTAAGACTATGTATTGCATAATTGAAATTCAGATATATCATCATGGATCACCAAATACATACAAGCATGGATATTTTTAGTTTCAGAATACCGGGTATATATGTCCCATCTTTTATTGACAGATTTTCTGCAGAAAATACTCAGCAAAATGTCACCTTCACCTGCATTTTAAGCATAAAAATATTGAGAAAATATCAATATGAAAATTCAATCTCAACAATTTTGTATTCCTGTCTAACCCCAAAATAATTTTTTTTGTTTCTGAAGAAAAAATATATTCTTTGGACATGGAAATTTATGCATGGGGGTAATTTATGCTAAATACTAGGGCTGTGTCAATATATCGATATATCAATACGTATCGATATTTAAGAATGTATCGTATCGAAAAAATAACTTCCAATACGTATCGGACATGCAGATTTTCTCATAATTCTGTGGAAAAGTTGGGAATTTCAATCACCAAAGGTTATATTTTCACTGTTTTGAATTAAAATTGATCAATAATGGTATAATCAATAAGGAGATAGCACATCTTAAATAAATATTATAAAATACATAGACAACTTTTTACAAATATAAAAAGTTTGAATTTGAAGTGTGATTTGTAGAGATAGTGAGACAAGACCTTCGAAATTTGTTATAAAACATTTAGTTTTTATAAAATTCATGCTTTAAATGATTTATATGATTTTTTTTGATAAACTTGTTAAAGAATCCAATATATCGGATATCCCATTATAAAATATTGTATCGTATTGTATCGAATTTTTTTGCGCAATACACAGCCCTACTAAATACGCAATAAGAAACCAGCTTTCATGTAAATATTTGAAGGTGCATCAGATTGTCAATTAACTATGAAAATTATGTACAAAAAAAGTTCACTTTATATTTTTGGTCAGATTGCACAGCATCAAGGATATATAAAAATAGACTGGAGGCTACTTGAGAAGGATGTAGACAAGGCAAAGAAGGCTATAGAGAGACAAACAAGGCACCAGTATCAGGGAGTGTTCGAAAATGTGAGTACACTGGAAGACCCCAGGGAATTATGGGAATACCAAAAATAGAGTCACAGGAATGAAATCTTTGTTCTGAAATAAAACAATATAAGCACTCCTCCATAAAAAAATAATTTAAACAGTTAATAGATTAACACTATTTAATTTCAGAGATCTGAAAGTGTAAGTACCTGTACAATTCATTTAAAGAAGGCTTATGTATAGATACATCCTGACACTTTTCCATATAATGTACATTTCATTTCACATGATATTGAAATTTATGTGTGTATTATACATAAAACATGTAGAAATAATGGATATAGTGAATTTCAATTTATAATGAAGTTACTGGTATTTTTCCTTAGTGATAAATTATTAAATATAAAATTTGATATGTAGGGATCATGGTTTAAAAACAGAGCTTATTTTGGAAGTCTGTAGTTCACTTTACCTTTGTTTCAATATACATGTACTCTGGACTTTTTATTTTCCAATCTCCTACACCTAACCTCTTTATTTTTACTCTCAACCCACAGCAAAACCTCAAGCAGCTTAAGTGTAAATTTAGACAAATATTAGTCTAAGATAAGTATTTGAAGAATGTGTCCCCCATAAAAATTTGTTTTTTGCAGTCACTGCTGAAACTGTCTCATGATTTTAGGATGAAATATGTCAGAGATGAGATGGCAGCTTGCTTTGAAATTTGTGATACCAATAATAATTTATGGTAATTTTACTCCATAATTGACCATATAAAAAAGTGAAAGTCTTATTATTCCTTTGTGTTTTGTTCCAGCTAAAGACATTCTTCAAGAACAACGTATACTTAGCTGGAAGTTTTGCCGGTGGATTTCTTATTGGAGTCACATTCTGATGGATTGAATTACATGTATTTCTTACTGGACTCACACGATTTGGAATATTTCTCATTAGAGTCACATTCTAATGATTTTCAATATTCAAAACTGAACAATACGCAAACTTTATGAATATGTTTTCATGTGTATAAATGCTGTTAAGTTTTTATATAACATATTTAAAATATTTGTACACCATTTTTGTTTGTATTTCTAGATTTACATTGTGATAGGGTTTTGATTGTTTCAGGAAAATGATACCTGTACTTGAATCATGCTAAATCTTAGATAATTAAAATTTTTATATAATAATCATGAATGAAAATCACCATGAATAGAATGATATAGACTTTTTTGTTTTAATTTATAGATTATCATCAATTTTAACAATCTGCAGTGGTGATATAAGTTAATAGAGTTCAGGAGAGTTCATAACGGGAATATGACCAACTTAATGTTAACATCAAAAATCATCATAAATTTTTGTGTGATATTATTATTGAGCTTCTTTTGAAGGGATTGTATGCTGCTTTGATATACCAGTGTTTATTAAAGAAAGTGTTGATGGCAATACTTTTAACATGAAGTATTGGTAAGGACAGTCTATAGATTTTTAAATATTCTGATGTAAATTAATTAACCATATTTGCTGTGCCAATGATTTGTGGTGGAAAAAATATGAAAACAGATAAATAGAATATTCCACAATTTGTCTTCAAGTTTCATTTGTTATTTTGGAACATTCTTCAAATGGAAAAGTGTCTGATAGTCATAGTAGGAAGAAAGTAATGCATAAAACAGAGAAGAGCTGAGTTTTCAACTAGATGTTAGGTGAATTTTTCCTTTACTGGATTCCAAGCAAATTTATAGAGGATTACATTTACATGTGCTATTATTTGAGAGAGAATGAGGTTGTGACGCCCAAAGGGCAAGGTTTTTATTTGTCATCAAAATCTCGAGAATAATGGCCGCAGCATCTGTTTGATCTCTGCAATAACTGTAGTAGAATACACTATAAAGGTGGGAAGAAACTTTATTAGATAATTTGAATTTAATCTAACAGTCAGCCAAGGAAACTTGTTTTATGCTACAGAATGCTTATGGGTAAAGAGAACCTGGAGTGGTGATACATAGTACTGACACTCAAAAATTCAAAATCAAAATTTTATATTGGAATATATAGGAAACAATTTGCAGATGAAGAAGAACAGGGCCATATTGACTCAGGTGAGCATCGTGGCCCATGGGCCTTTTTTTTAATTCCCCAGCCGCTAATTGTCAAAACTACACAGAATAAATAATTGATAATAAATTAGCTGGAGTACATTCTATTTAGGAAAGAACTCGCACTAGCCTATATATATTCACTAATTACATTATAAAGTATTCTGTAAGAGAGCACTTTTACCTAAACTAAAAGTAAAATATGTGTGAGGGAGTGTGTGTGCCTGTGTGACCTAATCAAATCTTCATAAACTGGATGGCAACTTAGATGATAGTTCCAATTTTTTAAAAATGAATAATTTAGTGTTATAACCTACAAGCTAGTGTTTTAGATTTTTCATAAACAGTTAAATAGGCTTTTAAGCCTAACTGCTGAGAGAGAGAGAACCATAGACAGATATATTTACTTTTAGTTTATGAGGTATGAGCTTGGTCTGGAGAGTGTTAAACATGTAATGAGCTCAGTTTGAAAGTTCTAACATATCCTGACCTCATTATGAGAGTGTTCTGACGTGTACAGCACAGTCTTACAGTATTTTCACTATTTTGACATATGACCTGAGACTGAGAGTGTAGTTGTCATGTAATGAGCCCAGTCTTTGAGAGTTCAGTGGGTACTGAGCTCAGTCTGAGAGTGCTTTATATAAATATGAGTCAGGCTATGTGTGTTTGGATTTGTAATAAGCACATTCTGAGAGTGCTCTGAAATGATGAGCTGACGTCTTAGTGTGTTTAATATAGTATGACCTCAATTTGAGAGCATTCTGTCATGTAATGAGCTCAGTCTAGGAGCGTTCAATATGTAATGAGCCTAATTTAGGTGCTCTCTAACATATGATGTGCCGTCTGAGAGTTTTTGACATGCAATAAGCACTGTCTGAGGAGTGTTTTGACTTGTATAAATGCAGTCTGAGTGTGATTTTATGTTATGAGCACAGTTTGAGAGTGTTGTGACATTTAATGAGCTTAGATTGAGAGTGGTCTGTCATGTAATAAGCTTAAGATTGAGAGTATTTTGCCATATCATGAGCTTAGACTGAGTGTTATGATGTAACGAGCGATAGATTGAATGTGTGTTTTGTCAAGTATTGAGATCAGATTGAGAGTGTTATAGTCTGAGAGTGTTCTCACATATAATGAGCACTATCTTGAGTGTTCCGACATGTAATGATCACAGTTCGGAGAGTACCATGATATGTTATAAACACACTCCGAGTTTGATTTAATGTTATGAGTACAGTCTGAGAGTTTTGTGACGTAATGAGAACAGTTTGAGAGTGTTCTAACATTTAATAAACTCAGATTGAGAGTGTACTGTCATGTAATGAGCTCAGATTGAAAATGTTCTGTCATGTGATGAAATCAGCCTAAGAGTGTAATGATATATGTAATGAGTTCAGTCTGAGAGTGTTATGGCATGTAATGAGCACCTTCTGGAGAGTGTTATGATATGTAATAAACACAGTCTGAGTGTGATTTAATGTAATGAGTACAGTCTGAGAGTGTTCTGACATAATGAGCTTAGATTGAGAGTGTTTTGACATTTGATGAGCTAAGTCTAAAAGTGTTATGACATTTGATGAGCTTAGTCTGAGAGTGTTGTGACATTTGATGAGTTTATTCTGAGAGTGTTATGACATTTGATGTGTTAAGTCTGAGCGTGTTATGACTTGAAATGAGCAGTCTGAAAGTGTTACGATATATAATCTGAAAGTGTTATGATATATAATGAACTCAGTTCTAGAGTGCTCTGACATTCTTTTTCTGAAATTTATTACTGTCCGGGAGTAATTAACATACAAAACTTCAAAGTTTGAGAACACTTTTGACCATTTCCGCTCTTCAGAGATTTTACCTAATTTAATACATTGTAGTCTTAAGTCAGAGTTCTTTCAAAGAGTTTTGATGTTTTATGAGTATGGGAGCTTTGAAGTATAACATAGGGGATTCTGAATTACATGATCGTGCCGAACTATAGAGTTCCACCAATATTGTAAATAAAAAGTGTGTAATCAGGATCATTTTACAGGTCTAGTAACACGTGATTGATTTCCTCGACTGAATACGTACGAGCGAAATTCTCCATACAAATGATGTACACGAAAAATTCCAAGAATAGAGTAATTTTAATATTGAAAAAGAAGCATACGAAAAAGAGAAGCCAAATGAAAAGTTATGGTTCAAACTTTTAAACGATCGGAAACAAGCATATTGGAATGCTACCAACAGTGAAAATCTCGCTGACTCCTACGAGAAATGGAAAAGTAATGAAACCATAATTTTTCCAAGAAAATTCCGAGTTAAGCAAATTACACAGAACCTTCTGAAGAAACCAAACTAAGGACCAATTTGGCACTTCAAAGATTTGAAGCGGAAATCATACTACTCCGTCTCAGAGTAAAGAAATCCGAAAACAAGTTTGAAAAACTGACGCAATTAGGAAATAAAACAAAAGGAGCAAGGGCAACATTCGTAAAAAAAAAAACTCATTGTGTTACGGAATAACGATGAAAAAAGAAAAATCAAAGAAGATACTTAAATCAAATATATATATATATATATATATATATATATATATATATATATATATATATATATTGTGTGTGTGTGTGTGGTTAATAAATATCTTATTTTTGTAGATGCTTTGAATCAGATAAAGAACACATAATGAGTATACAGCTAAAAAGAGGACGACCATTTAATTCGGGAGAGGACTAGCAAAATTTTTCAAGTCAGATTATTTATTTTCATGCCAGGCAAGGACAGATTATTTATTTTCAAGTTGATCAAGGACAGATTATTTATCTTCTTCTTCACTGAAAAATGTTTGACAAGGGAAAAAAAAGAAGAAGAAAAAACGTCGAGACTAGGAGTCAAGGACAGGTTATTCATTTTATTCTTCACTGAAAAACGTTTGACAAGGAAAAAAAAGGAAAACGTCAAGGAATCCAGGAGTCAAGGACAGATTATTTATTTTCTTGCTGGTCGAGGACAGATTATTTATTTTCAACTTTTTCGAGGACAGATTATCTCTCCCCCCCCCCCCCTTCTCAGAATCCAAAAGTCGACCCCGAAGGCTTTCAAGTCCAAATCTGTACCATACAAGAATGAGATTTTCTTTCATAATTATAGATAAATTTTGATTAATAATAACGAGAATATGTCTAAACAGATAGCAATGTTCACTGTAAATGACATGTACTCTATAGGTCTGGACCCCTCTTTCGTCGGAGAGGGAAAACGTCAATATTCTCCCGGCGACACTATTCTGTCCTTTTACTTCGGTACGGTCTACCTTTCCACTCACTTTGGTGACAGCGTGCTGTCTGTATGTGAAAGAACACGAGTTTTATAAGAAAACAACGACACACAATAACTGATCAATCAAAATCTGACGTATGTATATAAGGTAATTGGATTTGCAGACTTCGGAATCGGCAAGCCAGGAATCACCCGAGCAACAAAAGCTTAACAACCAAAGCTGCTTCGTCGATATTGCATTGTTATATTTCCGTGGAGAGCAAATGGATTGTGATGTACCCTCAATCTAGAGACATTCGTCTTCAAACTAACATCAATGCTGTATTTTCAGAAATTTTTGCCGTGTTCAGAAATTTTTGTTGTGTTGTTTAAAACAGATTGACACTGATTTTATTGTTAAAACTCAAATAAATATCAGTGCTTAATGTAGACTTTAGAGATATATTGTGAGAGACATCCCGATCGAGCTAGGGATGGGCTGTAGTTCCTCTCATATTCCTCATCAGAAGATGATCAACTATCGGGAGGAAAGTGAAAACGAGACCTCCACCACGTGGGACTGTCGTGGAGAACCGGACGGGGAAGTAAGCCAGCCACCCAGTAAGTAGTTCTTTTCCTCCGCTTCTTATTCTCCTTAAAAGAGAGCGAAATATTATCTGCTAGATACACCCTGAAAGAATACTAAATGTTTTAAGTCTTTTTATTAATGATTTACCCCATTTCAAAACAACAAAATGCAATCATAAAAACGGCGAGTGTACTTTCTTTTTAATAATTGAATAAAGGGGTTTCAAAAACCGACTGAAACCCTTGGTCTTGTCATGTTGTAAATTTTGAATTCACAGAGTGGAGGTAAATTGCAGAATTAGTAATTTTGTATTTACCTCGATCCACTCTGTAAATTTAAAATTAACAATATGATAGTCCTAACAAGGAGAATAATTTTCAGATAGAGATGAGAAGGTAGAGAAGAAACCTGACCCTCCAAAATGTCCGGCTCATTTGTTCGTCGTGTCTACCAAACGGCAGAAGATTGAAGTAAAACCCGCCAAAACGTCAGACGTCAAACCTCTGTCAACCTGAAAATAAATGCGGGCTAGTTCATTTGGATGCTGCTTCGAAGTACTCATCAATGATATTATTGTTATATTTAAAATTATTTTGGTGTCGTCATATTCTGTCCATTTACAAAAGAAACAAATGGCGTCAATGTTTATTATAAAATGTTTGGAATAGAAGACAAGTATATATTTTAAGAAATATATACGCCAGACAAATGTTCTATATCAATTCCGCACCAAACACCTGGAATTCTTTGCAGATGAAAACATTTTAATTTCTTCGTTTCTATGGCAACATATTCAATCCTTGTCGTGTTTGTACCTGACAGCTGACTGTAATTAACTCGCCATGGGTATTATTGATTAGAATGTACATGAGATAGGGTGTGTCCAGGTATATGATCAGAGATTTAAAAAATAAAAATATGAATATGTGCAATTGGAGGAAAAAGAAGAAAAATGAGCAACAAACACACAATTTTCTCATTAAATAAAACACAATCATTAATTAAATAAAGTCAACTGGATTGCGGGTTACGGTTTATCCAAGGTGTCTGGTTTCCAAACAAGTTACAAACACATTCCTAAATCTATATGGTTCTACTGATCTTGACGTGAAGCGTGAAAAACGACTGGGTAATATACTTAACATGGCAGGTCCATAGTTAGTGACAACTGCAGGACTGTTCATTGAAATCACGAAAGAAAAACAAGATCAACACAAAAAGTGACTTTTTTTCACTCAGCTGACATTTCAGTAACAGTTTTATTCAGATTTAAAAAAAAAAGTGAGAGGAGTGCAAACAAGTACTATTATAATCAATTTTGATCGTTTAAATTTTATTTGCGTGTAAAATCGCGAGAAAACGCTTCTTATTTATAACGTACGTGGGATACGCGAAAATAAGAGTCCGTCAAGAAAAAGATAATATGTAACTGATACACAGTATTTTGCATCACTGCTTTACGGTGTTTTACTACAGATATATTAAGTTGTTTTCTACATGATGTAAAAAGTACATAGCGTTTGTGAACATAATGAAAAAGATGATGATAACGAACAGTGACCGAACTCAAAAACCTACAAACAAAGCAAATCTGATAGAGGGTATAAAACACGTACTCACGGAAATTCTAGAGGTGGGACCAGGAGCCTAGGAAGAGTTATCATCCCCTGTAGACCGGACACACCCGCCGTGAGTCCTATGTATTGATCAGATAGATGGAGTAATCCTTAATCAAATTTAGTATGAAAACAAAGGCCTAACATTTCAGTCGGCAAAATACGACTTAATGGTTATATTTGCTATCAAGGTCATTATAATGACCATAAAATTTACGAAATGCTGACTTTAAATAAGGTTGTTAAATCCCTGTAACATCAACTTATCAGTCAGTAGCCTGCTTCGGTTTAAAAATTGATCGTACTCGGAGCATACTCTTGAGTATCGAATAAGCTGCATCATGCACCATATGCAGGTGATACCGGCATATACTGCATAAATAAGGAATCTGACGATGGAAAAGCTGAAGTCATCTGGTTTGTTATACAATTTACTTGTTAGTTAGCTCATCTTTTATAGTCAGTTACATATGTATAGTCAGTTAAACATCCAAATTTTATATGAAATGGAAACGAGAAATAAACTGCATATTCTACTACAAAGTATTGATTATCCTGTATTTTCTTATCGACATTAAAAGTTTTGAAAATACATAGACCGGCCATAAAAGGGATGATTTTGGTTACAATTTTCTCAACCAAAGTCTACAGTTCTGCAGCTATTTTGATATCACCAACTCTCCTCCGAAACTCTGAACTCATCAATTTGACGTGGACTTTATGTTCAGTATCATATTCATTAAGCTTGTTTCAAGTTGATGAACAGCGAGTAAAAAAGATTTTCTAAAAGATAAAGTGCATTTCAAATACATGATGAACTACCCCCCCCCCCCCTCCGGCGCCTTGACTCTGAACCCAGGGGTCATGAATTTCTGAATTTAGGGAAAGGGTTCATTTGTTAATTTTAATTAGGACAACGGTCTGCCTGCTTGATATCTATCAGTAAAGAAGATTTTCTTAACACAATGCATTTTAAATATACAGCGAAACTAGCCCCATCCTGAAACCCAAACTGGTCATTGATAGAGTAACTACTAATGATGTATGATTTACTTATTATATAATGAAACAATCCTAGTAGTTGATGATTTTGCATGGATTAATGATATCATTATTCAACATGATAGACACTAATGACACAAATTAAGTCTCTCCCTATGTATAGCCATGTTACCCTCTAATGATCTGAATTTAAAGGACATATTCATCTATATATGAATGATAAAATAATTTTGATAATTAGAATTTATATCAGGTTTATGAGCTCATGACACTGTATTTTGAACCTGTATGCTATACAGTTACCACACAAACAGAAATTAACCCATTTCGAAGTTCTTGTCTCACTGTCTTTACAAAATACACTTCAAATTCAAACTTTTAACAACTGTGAAATCAAAATGTTAAAATATAATTGTATGTTGTAATAGTTAATTTAGATGTTCTATCTCCTTAATGTTTATATCATTAATGATCAGTTTGAATTTAAAACAGTTATAATGACACAATAATCCAGGAAAACTTGGGCTTTCAAGAACCGAAGAGTTTTCTTGCTGAATTGGAGACTCTCGATGATTTAGCAGACTGCCCAGAAGCGTCAGATAGATGTTTTCAGAAACTGATGCTGGCAATATCCGCATTTCCAGTGTATATTGAGCTTTCAAATATGATATGAAGATTCTCAATAATGCAACACCCCATGGAAAGAGTTTGACCCATGCATTTCTCCAGATCTCAATCTTTGGGCCTTTTTTTTCTGTAGGGGTTCCTTAAGAACAGGGCCTACAATCCTAGATCATAGATATGGAATGAGCTTAAAAATAAATCTCCAAATGATGAGTGTTTCACCAAAAATGAGTAACTACGGTTTTTAAAATTTCTAGAAGAAATTTTCTTTTGTTGTTGAAAATAGGCATCGACCATTTAGAACGTGTAATGTGAGATTTTGTGTTGTAAAATTCAACTTAACAAAAATGACGCAATTTAGAAAATTCGTTGATTTCCCATAAAGTTTGATATTTTGTCCGGGTTTAATATTTTGATTGGTAATAGTAAATAATAAATCTAAGGGAAACATGCATTAAATTGATGAAAAACAATTTTTCGGAGAGCCTCAGGAAACACATGGTAAAATACAAGACAAAAATAATACGAGGTTTTCTGTGCTTTCAGAGTATCACTCAGTGCAAAAGTTTTTCACTCAGCAGATTTCTTCTTATTCATATGTAAAGCTTTGATCGCCTCTTTTAGGCATACCTTACCCCCAGGTGCCATGTTTTAAATGAAATTGAATCTTAACTTTCTGAGGATGCTTCTGTATTCATAAAACTAATCATAGCTTTGCTGTTCTTGAAAACAAAATTTTAAAGAGGTCTGCCACCCTACCCGTGGGGGGGGGGGGGGGGGGTTCATGATTTGAATAAACTTGAATCTACACTACCTGAGGATGCTTCCATATCAATATGACTAATCATGGCTTTGTTGTTCTTGAGAAGAAGATTTTTAAAGATATTTCCTATAAAAGTTCTTTTGTATAACTTTGATCCCCCATTATATCCCCACCCTACTACTGGAGGATGCATTGAACAAACTTGAATCTATAATACCTGGGGATGCTTCCATATCAATATAACTAATCATGGCTTTCCTGTTCTTGAAAAGATTTTTAGAGATTTTTCTAACTCAGGTGAGTTAAAAAAGTGTATATTGATTGGGCACAAAAAGTCCGCTGTTTCTCGATTTATTTCACCGTATATTTAAGCTGCCATCTCAAAATATTACAAACCGTGTGTTCTTAACATATTTTTTCACTACTTCCACAATAAAACATTTCCAAAAACCATTGTTAATGGCCTCCTGGGCCTGAAATTGAGATCATCGAAGATTTCGCCTATTTACATGTATACTGTCATCTTGGGTGGCAAGACAGCTCGATCCAACGCACTTCGTACATGATTTATATACAGTTTTGATGTGGAAGTAGTAAAAGAGTATGTTAGGAACACACGGTTAGTAGATTTTATATATACGGAGAAATCAATCGAGAAACAGCGGACTTTTTGTGCGCAATAAATATACACTTTTTTCAATGGATGGCACTGTAGCTCTCTGGTCGTCCATCCCAATATTTTCAGACCAGCGAGCTACAGACCTGCACTTTGTTTTTCACAAGATGAACACAATGGTACATAAATCAATAGCACACACATACTCATAAATGAATCTGAAACCTTGTGTACATGTACAATTAATAACCTTGTCGTCAAAAGATTCAATAAAGGTTAAGACAAGAATACATCTAGAAGAATAGACATCCTCCCAGTTTATTGAAATTTATCGATATTACATCATTTTAATATCACATCAATCTTACACAATCAACCCTCAGTCTCATTATTAATGTAAATTAAATAAATTTGACTGGGATTCATTCCACTTCTGTGTTGACGTCAGCTATTTTGTGAGAATTGCATGGTATACACATATCTTAAGTCCCTATAAACTGAATTCATGTGGATGCTAATTTCTGAACACTTTGAGGGTTTAATGTGTATACATGTACCTCCTGGCATATCTTTCTTACCAGCACTACCAGATAACTCGTTGGCAGCATGACATGCAATAAAAATAGGCATTTTGTGGACACACCTATGTATTGAAAAGTAGCATTTTCATCTCTTACTTATTTCACGACTGCAATTTAAAATTTTTATTTTTAAAAGTACTAAAATTACATTAAATTATGAAAATTTGGAACTACATTATTTGTAATAAATTGTATATGCTTCCCTCCTTTCAGATATCAATATATTGTTTTCTTTCAGATTTACAAAGCCTATAGGGTCTTAGAAGAATTTCCTATTTCATTTTTTTTTCATTTCATACAGAATGCTGTAATAATCTTTAATCATTATTCATTTATTCACATTTTCACTATGAATATCAATGAAATGGACACCAATTCCTTTCCAAGAAAATTCTATGAACTATTTGATGTTAAATACAAATGATAGCTGAATGAGTAAAAGTTGTTATTGTACATTTCATATCTTGAATAATTAAATTAATATTTTCCTATCATTTAATACAATATATTGAAATGGTATTAAGGCATACATATTCAGAGGCCCATCATTTTAAAATGATCTGACCATGCATGTTTCAATTGCTGATTCTTGAACAGCTCATTGGATATTCAATGTGTGGCTAAAATGCATCAGTGGGCCAGATATGCCTAAACTGTGGGATACGTATATATTTCCTTGACTGTCTCTCTATGAAATGAGCTCTAAAATCAACCAGTCTCTATAGGTTCATTACAACTCAGTCATCCATGTCCACTTCTTCTATGGCCATGCTTGAGTTGTCTTCAGGATTGATGTCAAGGTCACTAAGTTCCTGACTACTGCTGTGAGAAAACTCTAATTTCCCGGGAGTAGGGAATGCTGGGAAATCTTCTGAAGCACCTGGACGAAGAAATGCATATCTACTTATATAAAAATTGATGGTGAAGCAAAATCCCTTATTAATAAAATACAATTGTCACTGCCAGATTCCATGATGTCTTTCTCAAATTCATCTCTTATGTAATTCTTAGAACAATCTGAGCATTGTAGTATGTTTTACAGAATTTCTACTAAGTTAATGAAAACAAACACAATAAAAAAAAATTATCTGATAGAACAGAATGTTACCTTCACAAGGGTCCATCTCGGACATCAAAGTCTCTATAACACTTGACAGCATGGTGGTAGAGAATTGATCATCTCGACGGATTCCTAGTGCCTGCCAAGAAAAAAACAGTACAGTAGAGATACGATATACACAATGTATTTATTCTGAAGTGATAATTTCTGCTTGACTTACTTTATGGAAATAGTCCACAGCCATTAAGTTGTCTCCCTTGAGGACGTAGGTATAGCCAATGGCGGAGTAAGTGGAGGGATTCTGTGGGGATAAAATTCCTGCTCGTTTGTGATACTCCAAGGATTTGTCATAATTCCTAGAAATTGAAAGAAATTTCATTCCCTAAATTCACACAATGCTCTAACAGTTTAAATTGAGCTTTTCCAAGTCACCAAGCATTAAATCTTGTGAAGAACTTGAAAATTGTTCTGAAAATTATAGAAGCTCTATTTATAGCGAGCGCAGCGAGCTTTATAGACTTACATATAAGAACAGAGAAAATTTTAATTAAGATCTGCACATTCATCAAGCAAATTTTTCTGTGCAACTTTCCCAGAATTCCTTCGCTACCAGGATCCCATGTGACAATGTCGCATAAACAGTTCCGCAGTTATCATGTATCAAAACTTAGAACTTACAGAGAGCTTAAATTAAATGAAACAAAAAATATTGCATCTACTCTACAGTGCCTTTCGTTAAAAAATTGCAAAAGGCCTATTTAGACTCAGTTACAGAAATGCAACTTAAATAAGATGTCATGTGACGTCACAATCTAGACCGTCTCGTGCAGTTTGAAGAGGCGGATCAAAGTTTAAAATGTAAGCTATGTAAAGGTATTTTTATGGTACACAACTTCGCTCACCTCAACGCTGGCACCATAACACATGCTACTTCAATAAAATATTAAGAATATTAGATTTCTGTGGTCCTTTGTGCCAAAATTCTGAAGCTGGGCATTTAATGTTCTCATTTTCATTCAATTTTACCAAGTTAAGACTACACACCTTAATTTTCTGTATGTGTGTCCCAGATTATTTAGGAGAGGTTCCCATTTTTCCACAATCACTTCCTGTCCAATATTTTCTAAAATTCTAAGGGCATCCATAAAATATCTCTCAGCAGTACTCCACCTACAATGTATTTATATAGTATATTAACACAGCATGATTTTGGTCATTCCTCTAGGGAGATCTGTTCTATGATAACCTCACAAGCATATCTGCAACAAAAATCATTTAACCTCTCCCACTCAGTGTATTCTTCTGCATAAGACATTAATAAATACAACGAGAATACCAACAACGTAATACAGGGCCCCATATTGTGCTAATGTCAATAGTACTGACAATCTCATTCAGGGCCCCACATCGTGCTAATGTCAATAGGTGTGACCTTTGAGCACCTGGCCTTGGAATCTATAGGGTCTCATTTAATTGTAGTGAATAAGAAGTCTGAAGGTGAACAAAGGGGAAAGAAAGACAACTGAAGATATTGAGGTCATCCGTTTGATGGTCAAGGTCAAAATGGTTTATCTTCACATGAAGACAATTCAATGTGAAATATATCATGAAATCTGTAAGTTATCGATCACAAGGGTCATATCAATAATCTCAACCTCTGACCTTGACAATTGATCAAGTAAACCCTAAACTACAGGTGTCTTTTCCTTTGTAATCCATATGAAGTCTGTAGATAGAAAGATACTCAAGTAATCATGTCACATAAAATTGTCAATGGACAGATAGATCTGATGATTACTATAGGCATCCACATCTTGGTGCAAGGTCCTAAATATATGAAGATTCATTACATCTTCTCTTTAGTACTATTTCATGAATATAACTGAGATTAATATAAGACTTCTTACTCCTGGCTTTTGAATGCTATGACTCCCATCTCATGTAACACAAAAGGATCCTCTGGGGCGATACTTAGAGCCTGACTAAAGAAACGTTCTGCCAGTTTAAAGTTGTTGGTTAGGCCATGTTCTAGTCCTATATACAGGAGCGGAAGGTGACAGCCCTTCATCAGCTGTGAGGCAGTGAAGTACGCCACCATTGCTTGATCATGTTCATTCTCAGCTGCAAAGGAGTGTCCGAAGGCCAGCCAGGCAGGTCCATACACGCGATCTAGTGTTGTAGCTTTGCTGTGTTCAAAAGATTAAATATTGAATAAATCCATTAAGCAGAATAAATAGCTAGATTTACTTGTTTTGACTGTGTCACAGTTAGAGTTTTAGAAAACAAACAGACCAAGACAATATCCCTAAAACACACACGTAAATGATCACCATGTTATGTAAACTTCACTCGCCCCCCAGTAAATTTAAGTCACATTTGCTAGATGCTAGTGGTTATCTGCAACCTGCAAGCCTGTTACAGTAAAATAGGTTACAGCAAACAAGCTTATAATGAATTTACACTTACAGCAAAGTTATTTTGATTCCCTGCAGTTTAGAAACATATTATAAACTTCTCATATATAACCCATTACGGTTAAGTTTAACTTCTCTAAAATAAGGAAGGGTGAGTGCTGTTATTACTTTATATGGTAATAAATCTGGACATGGAGAGGAAACAGCATAGAATTTTTATTACTCTTTTCTACTCAAAATAACACTTCAGTGAATATCATTTAAATTGCACAATTTAAGGATTTATCTGATTTGCTGGATGTCTTTCATAGATATCAGTCATTACAGGTAGATAAAAGGAGGTGCTTGAGACTTCAGAGTGTTCTGCAAATACCTTACTGTTTATCTGAGATATCTTATTGTTTACCTAAGATATCTAGGTGTTTAACTGAGATATCTTATTGTTTACCTGAGATATCTTATTGTTTACCTGAGATATCTAGGTGTTTACCTGAGATATCTAGGTGTTTACCTTAGATATCTTATTGTTTACCTGAGATATCTAGGTGTTTACCTGAGATATCTTATTGTTTACCTGAGATATCTAGGTGTTTACCTGAGATATTTAGGTGTTTACCCAAGATATCTTATTGTTTACCTGAGATATCTTCGAGCAGGCTCACTCTTCTCTGTCAGTAAATAATAACATCCCACAGCAAACCAAGAAACCTGTATCCAAATGTTACCCGATTATTTTCCAAATGTTATCTGATTACTTTCCAAATGTTATCTGATTAATTTTCAAAGCCATTTAACCCATACAACATACAAAATTTATAAGACTCATCAAAACTTACAGGATCATTAGGGTACAAGTCCACAAGCTTGTGAGAGAGGTAAAACAAATCTGTCAAATAAGGGAAAGTATATGTACAATATTCCTCCAAATCATACAAATATTCCGCGCTCTGCAGAGTAAATGATCCTAATGTCAACATTAAAGTAAAACTTACCTTTCGCTTTTTTCAGTTCAACTAACACTGCTATATGAATGGGTAAACACTGAGTATTGTAGGGGTCATCACTCATTACTCTGTATGAAAAAAAATATATATATAAAAAGCTAAATTATATGTACCACTGCATTACTCCGGTAATCTTCAAATGTTTATTTATTACTTGTAGTGTCACAAAATAATTACCTCTTTTTGCTACCTTTTTAAACACTTATTCCTGAACTTTTCCAAATTTTTGTCACAAAATAAATGAAACTGACAATTACTTTACAATTACTGTACATGTATGTGTAAATGGCAAAGAAGGCCAAAAATTACACCCATTATCTACATGTTTTGTTACCACAGCAAGTTTGTTTCTACCAGACTTACTTTGTTGTAATTTTATGACACTCTCTGAAATCACAGTTGTAGTAATGTCTCTCGGCCAAATTAACAACGATGTCTTTATTGTTTTTTAAACAAGACAAGGATCCTGGAACTCTGTGCTCTTTTGGCTTATCATACTGTTCCCATACAAAAAAAAAAGATTTATCTTCCAAATACGTTATGCTCAAAATTGTAAAATATTAGACATATTTCATTCATGATTCATATTGATCTTTATCTTATACAGAATAACATTCTTCTATGTGCGTTAAAAGAGATGATAATACAATCTTAGAAGGAAATGTCTAACCTTTTTGATCCTATTTTCATATAAATATCGAATTAGTTCTACTTCTTCTACAGGGCACTGAACAGCAAATGGCAAAGTATCTAGTAACTCTCGCTCTGAAATATTCAAAGTGATAGAAAAATTTCTCATCTATTTCTTCAAATTAAAACAAGCTTGCAAGATATATATCTCATGTACAACTTACAATGATAACTACAAGTAGATAGATGAGGGATACCTTCTTGTGATGACAACATGTGGTGGTGAACCAACAAATCAAACGCCTCGAAACAATACACATCCTGTCTCAATGCCTCCCGAAAACAGTCCACTGCCAAGTTCCTGTTGTCCATAGCTTCATATATTCTACCCCTCAGTAGGTTTATTGAGTGTTCTACCTATAGCACAGATATTAAACTTATATTGTGATGCATTGCTTTCACTTATCAACTTGTACTATCATTTATTTAAAATATTAATAACTAGAAATATGAATTACAACTTATTTCTCGAGTTTCTAATAGGGCTGGGATCAGTGGGATGATATATCGAGATATCGATAATATCGATTCAATGTGAGAATGATACACATATTGATACATATGAAGAAATATCGAAATATCATCAAAAAAAATTCTGACTTATGTTTTTCTTTGTTTACTTAACATTTTGGGTTAAATATATAAAATAAATATGCTAAATATAAATATGAAATACATAATAATTAATACCAATTGTGTAAAATAATTTTGTTTTACAACAGATATACAACTTCTTTGAATAAATTATTCTTATTTGTGAAGAAATGTTTTGTTCATTTCAATTCAAGAAAAACATTTATAATCAATTTAACATATCGTGATACATATCGTATCGAGGCTCAAATATTGCGATACATATCGATATAGAAAAAGTTGTATCGTCCCAGCCCTAGTTTCTAATTTATTTCATAAAATGAAATTTATTCAAAGGCAGTGAACATACAAATACTGTAAATCACATTTTATTCACGAGAACTTTATTTTCACGTAATTACACAAGACTGCCTGCGAAAATTTCTCTCCGGCATATATTAGTATTATTAAAGATTATATAGAGCAATGACCGAAATTCGTGAAAATTTTGTCTCACTTGTATCAACCAAATAAAAATCTTGATAAAATAAGTTGTTGGAAAAATTAAGTGATCTACAGTACATAAGTATTGCAAATTTTTGATTAAGAATAATTCATGATTTTCTTTAATCTCTTTTACAGATTTAGAAAATTTTAGAATTCTGTCCTTACATCTCTACCCAACTCTATTTTATTTTTCCCCTATACCTCCTTATGACTCTGGTCATAGAGAGAGTCTGTCAGATTGTGTTTGCTGAAGGAAGGGAGGAAACTGTTGTTCTCTACCATATCCAATATGTTCAAGGCTGTCTGCCACTCCTTACATTCAAACTAAAAAAAAATATCAATCAATCATTGGATACTTTTCATCCGATTGCCATAACAGTAAATACTTTTAAAATGAATTAAACCATTTTACTCACATGGCATTTAGCTGCTAGGTATCGACAAGCAGAGTTGGTCTGGAAAAGCAAAAATATAAATAATTGCAATGAAAAGTTTTCAACAAAAAAAAAAAGGAGGATGTGACATTTTCCATAACTCTAAATGCCACAAAGAACTTTTTTCAAACGAATGGAATGAAAGCAAATCTTGAATGAGTCTTAAAATTATGAACACTGCAGCAGATAACCTTGTCTAAAAACACATTAAAAAAAAGGTAGTATGAAATCAAAAACTTAAATATGAGAAGTTTATGACAGAATGACACAGTTGTTTTTATACATATATATAGAACCTTGTCCAGTTTTCTTGACCTCAGTAGCTGTGAGGCCCTGTGATACTGTCCGGTCAGATACAGGGTCTGTGCGTACCAGTACACGTCATCAGGATTACCTTTAAATTATCAAAACAATCTTTACCTCACATTTTTTTTAAACTTCAAAAGTAAAATTTTACAATATGTCTTTCAGAATCAATTCCTTAAAAAATATAAGCAGAGTAATTAAAGATTATGAATCTCACCTTGACAAATGTTATTACAAGTAAGGAATTTCAAACAAATTAAATAATGTTCAGTAAGATCTTAATTACAGGTAAGATCCTAATTACACAGGTCACTGATATCAATTTTAGTAGATCATATATGAATTCTTACCATTAGAGAGTGACACAACTTTATCTGCCCAGAACAAGGCAGACTCATACTGGTGCTACAAAAACAAATATAATGTATCTTTCAGGACTCTCTTAACACAGAGTTGTGTTGTACATTATTAAAGTAATGAATGCATGGTTATAGTTAGCACTGAACAGATAATCAAATACAGCTGATCAGTCAATAGTTGGCTCATACCAAGCACTCTATCACAAAAAATTCATGATTGCTAATCAATCAGATACATTTAATTTTTACAATAACTTTCACTTTGAAATTCATTCCTTAACCAAACTCTTTTAGACATAATTTATTCAAAACTACAAACTCCTACTTACACATCCAATTATAGCAAGTTTAGTCAATACTGAGTTCTTAAAGCAACAGAGAGCTTATTTCTACAGTAAACTCAGTACCCATTACCCTCCATACATTGCATATGGCACCCAAACAAATTCTCACGATAACAAACCCAAAATTGACAAATAAAACATGAACTAACCTTGATTTAATGGATACTGCAGATAGATGAATATTTAATGTTCTATTTTTTGAAAAAATTGCAAATTTCAGACTTGATTGTGGAAATATGCAACTGAGTTTACTGACATACGATGTCATGTGACGTCAAAGTCTAGATCTTACAAATGTCTCGTGCAGTTTGAGGAGATTGATCTTAGTTAAAAGTGAATAAGTAGCTTATCTAATAATAAACAACTGTGCTTGCCCCAACAGTTGCACCATCAAAATATTACCCTGTCTTTATCATGTTTATGAACCTCATTATGAACATGGCGTTGGTCAAACAAAATAAAATAAATGTAAATGCTATGTTAATATTTGTTCTGTATTATGCCAATGTGCTAAGGTTGTAGACTAGTTAGAATAATCTAACTGTGTCTTGGGACAAGCCCTCACCAAAGTTAGAATATGTCCCATTTATTACATTTTCAACAGTGAAATACTGTGATTTATTCATTGAATAAATTTGATATTCTCTCAAAGTGTGAAAGGATACAAAAGTGATATTCTCTCACAGTGTGAAAGGATATCAAAGTAAGTAAAATATAATTTCTGGCCTGAAATAAGATTGAGATAGTAACTAAACCATCTTGACAGAGACTAAAACTGCCAATTTCTTCCCAAATATGTTGCTTAAATCCATGTTACAATGTTTTCATCTCACAACTGCTAAGCTATGACGTCTCAACTGCTCATCTGTGACGTCACAGCCTATTACATTGTGTTAAGAAAAGACAGAGGCAAAGGGAAAATCAAAGAAAATGTAATAAATAGAAAATTCAATGTTTTGTAGTTGGATATGGAATTTATTTCACTCGTGAGACAGGATTTTTTGATATTTTCACTCGTGCTTCGCACTCGTGAAAATATAAAAAAATCCTGTCCCACTCGTGAAATAAATTCCATATCCAACTACAAAACATTGAATATCCTCTATATACGAAATGATTTTGAAGTATACAAAAGGAGTTGCACAGAAAATAACTAACAAATTAATCAATTGAGATTGTATATGCCTTTTAACCTAAAAAATAATCCATATATAGATGAAAATTCAATTAATTTTCTCAACGTTTTTTCTTGCTTCAAATTTCACGCCATGTTGACATTCGGAACTCTCTGGATTGATCATAGTAAATGTACTGAGTTCAAGTTATTGCCCATGTTTATTTTGCTACATTGCCAACACACGGAACGAATTCTATCGTTAAACCGGGTCCGTAGGACAATATCAATTCAACGATAGAACGTTCTATCTAGTTGTAGACTAAAGCAACAGTTAAGAATTCAGGGGACTCAGGTTTGAATCCAGGACTGGTCTAGTTTGTCATATTTCCTCCCTATCTGACAGTAACATGTGGTGCCATGACCATGCCAGGAAGTACAGGTCCAGTCCAAAGACTATTTCTACCTATGTAGCTATTAATAGCTACATAGGTATTTAAACCTACTCAAAGTAGCTATTTTTACCTACTTTTTGCATTACTTGCATTTTGTGACCAAACGACTGAACGGCGCAACATGGTGAGTACCAAATTTCTTGATACAGTCACACTAATGATGAATAGGACAAAATTTTGGATAAAAAATGACTACTTCGTAAATTAACAATTTTGCATAAATTACTATGTAAAATTGTTAATTTACGAAGTAATAATTTTTTGGCCAAAATTTAGTCGTATTCATCATCAACGTGACTATATTTATATTAAACTTGGTGCTCACCATATTGCGCCGTTCCTGCGTTTGGCCACAAAATGTAAGTAAAGCAAAAAGTAGGTAAAAATAGCTACTTTGGGTAGGTTTAAATACCTAGGTAGCTATAAGTACCTACGTAGGTAGAAATAGTCTTTGGACTGGACCTGAAGTACAGGTGAAAGCCCTTCCTGGGATGAGACAGAGTGTCCTTTTGGTAAAGACAAATATGGTGGTCACCGTCAGGCAGGTTTTGACTAGTTCCATACAACAACTGTAACAGGGAAGGTGAAATTTAAAGAGATCAGGATCCCCTAGGACTTTAGACACGCACTCCGAGGAATTTCGAACTTACATGACAATCCACTACTCAATTTTACATTTCTACACCTCCACGCAAGAAATGGATGAGCCATAAATAATTTCACACATACCTTTTCAATGTAAAATTTTACTTTCTCTCTTAGTCTGCTTAAATTAATCCCAGACACAGTATGTGGTTTTTCATTCATCTGTGGATTTTCAACTTCACCCGCCATTTTAATTGGTGTAACTAATAAGCCTAAAGGCACTACTACAGTTCGTCGATTTACCCAAAAGGACTCAACAGAACCCCAAAAGGACCCCAAAGGAACCCAGAGGACCCAAAAGGACTCCAAATGAAGAGGACAACTGGCTTTTCTCATTTTCAAACTTAATTTAAAAAAAAAAGGTTTGGGGAAAAAAACCTGTGTTTTATTTTTTTTTTTTGGGGGGGGGGGGGGGAGGGGGGGGCTAAGTCATAAAATAAAACTCATTGCTTTATTGTATATCAAATGGTAAGATATGAAAATTAGAGGGGAAGTACAATAATATATTGTTATTTTCAAACAAAGCATATCTAACAAGATTTAGTGTTTGACGTGTATATACTTATAAGGCGTTTTGTTATTTCTCAAAATAAAGTTGCACAGTATAAAGGTTCACTTCTATAAATAGGGATCTGACCTATAGGGCCGGGCTTGGTTTTTTTCTCTACAAAAAGCTTGTCGATTTCCGTTCCGATTAATGACATTAGGCTGAATACATGTAATAATTTGTTTTTCATAAATCTTTATTTCAGTGAGTAAAGGTAGGAGGAACACTTTCATTGATATTCTGAGTTTGTGATCTCCAAATGTAATTATAATTGATATTTTTTCTTTACTTCTTATTGTACATAATGGTAATGTCTTCTGTCTCTGGAATTAAATTTTTTATATCTAGCCTATTTATTTTACAACACATTTTCGTTGGATATAATAAAAACATGCCATTAATGTGTGCAAATCATATAGGCCTAAATGAAATCCAAGGGAGTACAGTTACTGGTATTTGTAGCCCTACTGTTTCAAAACTTAAGATCTTAGAACACTGACTGCAAACAAAAGTACATGTATGTTATTCTAAATTTATTAATAAAGCTCAAATAATTCAAGCAATACGTAACATACTACATGTAACCCAGACAAGCACTAGTAGCACAGACAGAATAAAAGCAATGTGATTAAATTCTAAGAAATATATACAATTGAAATTCATCGCAGCTCAATGCTGCCGAAAATACCTGTATCGAGTAACACAGAGTGAGTTATTCTTGTCCTCGGAGAAAGTGTGCTTATACTGAGATTTGTTCCGCCTGACTGACAACTGTACATAGGATTGTTACGATTTGATCTCTCTCTAGTTTCTTATATCAAGAATGGGAATGCATAAAGGATAGATAATTGAAGGGAAATACACAAACCTATAAAAAATTTAAAATAGTCTTTCAAAAGGCGAAAATTTAAAACTATAAAAGTGTGGCACCAGGTGGATTCGAACCCCCGACTTTAAAAAGAAATGACCCACGATATAAAAGTCATCGCATATATCAAATGAGCTATTCTGACTACTAGATTGAATGGTATAAATTTGAAGCAGATTGTCAAAATCAGGTTTACTTATTTTTTGTAGGTTTTTTGTGAATTTCGACCCTAGGGCAGGGGTGCCCTTAAAAAAAATCCTATCTTAAATTACTCCTTACATCCCAACCTATCAAAATATCACAATTTCATTTAGGGGCAGGCCTGCCCTGAAAGACTTCTAGGCCAAAATTTATGCAAAAATCAACGCTTTAACGGACAAAATGGTGTTTTGGCCAACTTTGGAGGTTTATTGTAAAGTTGTAAATAATAAATTTTAGTTGTAAAATACAAATTTGAAAAATTAAGACATATATACGGCAGAAAACAACAAATAAAGATTGATTTTAAAATGTCATTTTTTCCGGGAAATTGTTCTCTCCTATAGGTCAATTCTTTTGTAACAGTGAATACATCCTTTATGTTTTTGCCAACTTTTATATAAACTGTATAATATAAAATTCATTATTTAATTCAAATTAATAATTTTCAATATATCATAAAATATTCATTTTGAGTCCTTTTGGGGTCCTTTGGGGTCCTTTTTTGGTTTTTTTGGCCCATCGACGCGCCCGCACAACACCGAAATGCCCCCATAAAACACAGAAATGCCCTTAATTAAATAGTTTTTAATTAGATATTAAAATAAATCGATTTATATCATTAGAATATGATAAAATTTTAATAGACAAAATATGAATGATTTTACGTCAGAGCTGCGCGAATGCATCAATGCATCACTAAATAAGTGCTATCATTGTGCGAATTTTAAAATGTACATCAGGGCAACTTTAGTGATTTGATAATTTGTTTGCCCTCTAAAGCCCCAGTATTTCATCTATGGATCGACCCATTCTACAAAAGGAGCGTGTGAGAAAAATCTAAAATTGATGTTATTTATAGGTTTCACAAGCTATTTTGTGTGAGACTTTTTGTTCAAAGGGAATTAAAAAAAAAAATCTAAAAAAGCCAAAACCAATAACAAAAACATATATCCCCTCGACCCCAGCGGTTTAATATTGGATTTGAAAGCAGAGAGCAGAAGTTTTGCAAAATTTCAAATTTTTAGAAATAAATGACCCATTTTTAGTTCTATGGCAACAGCAGCCATTTTGGATATACCAGAATCTTGGAGAGACACTTACACAGCAATATTATCTACATGTACATGTAGTTTGAAACACAATTGGAGAAAAAAAAATCCAGTTAAAATAAAATTCCCTTTTGTTTCCAGGGATACAGTTAAAAATTTGTCCAAGCGATTACATTATTCCAATATTTTTTTTTTCAGAAACAAGTTTGACATGATTAAAAGAATAAAATTTTAATTGCTTCAAAAGAAAAGGTTGGACGTTTATTGTCTTACTGAGAAAAATGAGATTTAGATTTTTCAATATTCATACTTCGTATGTTTCAATGGAACTGGCCGTCATTTTGAAGAAGGGACACTTGTATTTTGCCCCCCACCCTGCCCCCATACATACATGTAATTAAAACCAAGATATTTTATTGGGGGGAAAAGTGGCTCTAGGGAAAATCGCACTCTATAACTATTGCACAGAGTAGGATTTTCCCCGAAAAATTGAATCTGATGTGGGATTTTCGTAGGGAAATCCTACTCTAAAGTCATTTTCCGCTGGGAAAATCCTACTCTAGAGCCTATTTTCCGGTGGGAAATTCTACTCTAGAGCCAGTTTTCCGAGGGGAAAGAATTTAGAGGGGAAAGCCTACGCTACAAGACCGGTATTTATGCAAGTATGTGATTCTTCAAAATCAGTCTATAGTTTGCCATGTAAGGGTATACATGTTTTCCTCCTATGGAGAGAGTAATGACAGAATCAAAATCTAACGAACCAAATGATACACAAAATGAGTGATATTTGCCAGGACCTGGAAACAAAGACAAGAGGCAGCCCAAGGGCCCTAACGGTCACTTGAGTATAACCTAAAGATCTATAGAGTAAAACAAAGTAAGCTGATAAATGAAGCTATGTTGCCCAAAAGCAAAAGAAAAAGAATGATCTGGGATCATCAAAAAATTAATTTAGCATTCAGTAACAGATCTTAAAAGTTGATCTTTTTATTTGCCTGTACTTCCCCCCCCCCATTCGTCACTATCCTCATGCGGACTAAACAAAACAATAGTTCTAGAGCACTGTTAGTTAGCACATTTTGTTCCCCCTCACATTGGCCTCTCTTAGTCTTCGAAGATTAGATTAATGTACGAAGATACGGTATTTTTGTCCCATTTTCATTTATCTTATTTACAGTGATTAACTATCATAAGGTGAATAGCAAAGAGGTATAACTTCTTTCACAAGAAATTAATAAATTGACCAAAGGGTAGAGAAATTCATAATCTAGTAAAAACACCCTTGCTTATCACAACTTTATATACTCTGCGCCTCCTAGATGTCCAGGAACAGAGAAGAAGATTTTCAAAAAAAAAAAAAGAAGAAGAAGAAATAATAATCCATTTTCACTTTAGATTTAATAAAGCCCCACCTTTATACCAGATCCCCTGTTCCAGGGGCCAAGATATTCACAATTTTGGAAGATACACCCTTGCTCATCATAACCATGCACTTAGTATGTTTCCTTAATAACAATGGACAGAGAAGAAGATTTTCAAAGAAATAATGTATTTCTGCTATATATTCAAAAGAGCCTGGCCCTAACACCAAAATCCCTGACCTCGGGATTATGAATTACACACTTTTTAAAAAGACATCCTTGCTCATCATAACCATGCAATTATTTTTTCCGATAAATACACAGGGGCAGAGAGGCAGATTTTCAAAAAAAAAATGCATTTCCACTAAATATTCACTATAAATTCAATAGACCCCACCTACCCCCACATGAACCCTTTACCATGAGGCCACAAATTTCACAATTTTGGAAGGGGCACCCTTGATCATCATAACCACGCACCTAGTTTATCTGCTCCATATACAAGGGGAGAGAAGAAGATTTTTGAAGAATTTATGCATTTTCACTTTAAGATCAATAGAGCCCCGCCCTAATACCAGAACCTCTGACACAGGGGCCAAGATATTCACAATTTTGAAAGAGGTGCCCTTGCTCACCATAACTGGTTTATCTGCTAAATACCTAGGAGCAGAGAAGAAGATTTTCGGGGAAATAATGCACTTTCACTAGTTAATCAATAGAGCCTCCACCCTCCTTCCTGAAGAACCCCCCACTCTGGTGCCACAAATTTCACAATTTTGGAGGAAGCATCCTTGATCATCATAACCATGCACCTAGTTATCTGCTAAATACCAAAGGCAGAGAAGAAGATTTTCAAAGAAATAATGTACTTTCACTATATAATCAATAATGCCCCCCCCCCTCTTCCTGGAGAAACCCTCACTCTGAGGCTATAAATTTCAATTTTTGGAAGATGGAGGCACCCTTGATCATCATAACTACGTACCTAGTTTATCTGCTTCATATACAAGGGGAGAGAAGAAGATTTTTAAAGAAATTATGCATTTGCACTATATGATCAATAGAGCCCCGCCCTAACACCAGAACCCCTAACCCAGGGGCCAAGATATATATATATATATATATATATATATATATATATATATATATATATATATATATAT